CTGAGAAGAAAGCTGTGGCTGAAACTTGCTAAGACAACTGGCTTAACCTTCAGTTTATGTACCATTTCCAGTCCACGTCCCCCTACACACAGCTTGAGGACACTGAGGTTACAATAGGGTAACATTTGTATAATATAAGGAACTGTCCAAAGCTTTGAAAGGCAGTGATGACACAGGTCATCTTTATCGTAGTACTCAGAATTTGAAGGGAGGGTAGTGAAAACTGGTTATTGTTTCAATTCTGCCTCAGTCCCCTCTAAACATATAAGGAGGGCAGATTGTGTTTGGTGTTTCTGCTTAAGGAGAGAATAATGCATGTGAAGCCTGAAAGAAATGTAGTCTGATACTGCTTCACACTGACTGTAAACACCTTTCCTCTTCATGGCTGCTCTGCACAGCCCAGCCCTTAGGCTCAGTTTACCGCCTCCTCAGCCCTCCTGTGGCCAAAGTGTGGCCACAGGAGCTCTAGAGGGTTGCATATGGGGCAGCCGAGGGAGTTGGGAGCCAGCAGCCACAATGGCAACCTGCCCTGACTGTCGGTGCAGCAGGCGTTTTCCCACATGGTCCCTGGGTATGGGTGCTGTGGGCCTCAGTGCTTATCCTCTGTCTTCCATCCTGTCACTGCTGAGGAACACCCCGGCTCCTCCTGCACAAATGCAGCTTCCTATGCAGGGCGCCTGGCTCAGACAGGGCTGTGCTTCTTCCATTGCAATATGACAGCAAAGCATCACCCACCATATATAATTTCCCATGAGAAGGACCATCCCACAGGTATCCCTCTAAAGCATGTATTTCCTGAACAGATGCGGATTCAGCTTGACCACAGGTCAAAGAAGAAATTAACTCCTCCTGTGCTTGTCCTTTGAAATGAAAGACAGGCGATATCCATAGGTAAGAAAGGGAATACGTTTTTTTCTAACTATGATTTTCAGTAGAGGGATATGCTCAGCAAGGTGACTGGTTCAGCATGGGGGTAAGGGTGGATAATTTCTTCATTTATTTCTGTGGCCTTACTGTGCGGTCTGCAGCTTGCCAAAGGACTATGCAGAAACACAGTGTTTCTATGTGTTGTTTTTCCAGTAAAGGACAAAACCATTGAGTTCATGTGGGCTAGACTGAGGCAGAAAGAAGGTCACTTCAGTGCAGGATTATTAAACTTGTCCTAATTTACTCCTTTGAACAGCAGTTTGATCTACATGTCCATAAAAGGTTTCCTGATGGTTTATGTGTGTATGCGTGCCTGACATAAATAAAAGACACACTAAAAACCTGAAGATACTGAAAAGCAATCCCATAAAATATTTTTACAGCAAACATCTGCATATCTGGTCTCTTTAGATTTATGTTTAATTCTGACAATTAGCTTCAAATTTCTCAGTGCAAGAGTCTTGTTCTTTCGAGATTCTATTCTGTAAAGCTTCTCTTTTAAGTCCAAGCATGAACATGTTGCTGTCTTTTCTCTTTTCCCCCCATACATCTGCATCAGGCAGATTACATTAGTTCAAGACAGCTAAAGTCACTGCCTTTTAAACTTGTGCTATGTATTACATTCTCTTCCTAGACTCTCATTTTAAATAAAATTTTTTCTTTATCTACTTGGAGACCACGAAAGGAACAATTTGCTGCAAAAGGACATGCTCTGGGATCAAACAGGGCAGTTTGTGGAAGGGCTACAGCTCCACATCTGTGTTTCCATTCACCTTCATCCGCTATCATTTGTGGTTTTCTGGGTCTAGCAGTAATCCGAGCAACTCGTTCTGACAGATTTAGTGTGTTTCATACGGTAATTGGAATCTCACTACTTTAATGTCTTCATTCAGTTTCTCTGATCATGGTACCGAAAGGGATGTCTTATGCTGTACATAGCTTTATGTGAATAGAGGAGGTTTATGTGATTATGGTAATAGTTCATAAAATCTAGGAGAAGGAGAAAAAGAGTAATTTGGAATTCATTTATTCATAACAGGAAAAGCTAATATTCTTCTTGCCTAGAAAGAGTTTTGTACATTAATCGTTTGTCGTGGATTTCTATTACTGTGCAGAACTAGTTTGGATTGCTTCAGTATTACAGTTGCCCTAACTTCTTTTTTGTGTCCTTTTTAGTCTCTTCGAAGTACTGTTTTTCCTTAAATAAATAATCTTGATTCCATAAAGATGGTATTAAAGCTGTCTTCCACCTTTCCTGCAGTATTTGAACAGAATGCTTAATTCTGGTCTCTGTTTTGCAGCTACGCATTTTACTCATACAGAACAAATTGCCTTCCTACAATTGAAAATTAAAGATTTAAGCAATTTAGCTTATTCTTTCATAATTTTAAATTTTCTTGTTAATGGTGCATTTGTTTCTGGAACAGGGGCCTAGTGTGTGTGCATTTCTTTCTTATATATGTTGTCTATATTGTTTTATTGTCTCATGGCTTTTTGCCTTTTTTTTTTTCTGATGATTCTCCTCTTCACCTTCTGTCTTATCTAAGATTTTTCAAACTTCCCTAAATGTAATTTTACACTGAGCTCACAAAAGCCTAGCAACAGTTTCAAATACTTAATTTGTTACCTGGGACCAAATTGTGTACTCCCTTGGCCTGACTTTGTCAAAAGCCTTGCAGTTGAAAGCAGAAAAAAAACGGGCATGTAGCCATGAGAGGATTGAAGAGCAGAGACTATAGGCACAGTGATTCAGATTAATCTCTGTATTAACTTCACCGAAGCAATACATTTGGAGCATATTAAAACAGTTTTGCTGTGTGATCTGTCAGTTATGTGTTATCATTTTAGAGAGCGGCTCTTTAAAGCCTTGTCCTCCAGGTTAAATGAATTCAGAGATAGCAAACTGACAAATCGCAGGAGGTGCTTTTCCTTAGAGGTCTCTGTGGGGAGGATTTGCAGCAACATTAGGCCCAATGCCTCTCATTATTTTATGGGGGAGCTGAAAATACAGGGAAAAATACTGTTAATAAGATTTGTGGGTGACAACAGGAACAGAGATCTGCTAGAGAGATACAAATATAGAGAAGGCAGGAAATTTCAGAACAGCCATCTGGCCATCTGCCTTTTTCTTAATAAGTTGTGTTGGCTAATAGGAAACCCTGACCATACTTCTGTGTGTGTGCATGCACTTAGACAAGGATAGAAACAGCATAGTTCTCTTTCTTGTTAAACTTTGGTGACCCCTGGTGAGCTTCTTGCATGCTCACTCGACCTGTAAGGAGCATAGCTGGAGAGAGGGCTTTGCCCTTTGTGTGAGACAGGGGCTGGATGAGACCACCTGTTAGGGCCATCCAGATCCACACATGAATGGCCCTTATTCCCTGGCAGTATCTGCAGTTCTGAAATTAATGAAGAGTTATGGTCAGTCCAACAGGGGCACCAAAGGCCACTCAGAAGTGTAGGAGCAGGGACCCTGCAGAAGCATCTACAGCGTTCTCCTCCTGGGGTGGGTAGAGGATGGCCAAGCTCATTCCACTGCAATGGGCTTGCTGCGACCAACCAACAGCAAGACCAAAAGTGCACGCCTGTACATCTGAAATAAGGCATATTTATACACAGTTCTACATTCCTAAGCACAGCATAAAAAAAATAAATCGATCAATCAATGAATGTACATTAACTTAATCTTACACAGGCCATAAAGATGAAATGACTTTTTTAACAGTGCGCTGTCACAGTGCCTCTAAAAACATGGTACAACTGCCTGGGTGCAAGCTGAGCTTTAGTGGCCATCTGAATGTCCCAGGGCCAGTATCCAGCTACTTTAAGTTTGCTGGCTTATGAGTGGAAGACTGTGTTCCTCAAAGTTTTTCCATGGGTGATGCGTACTGTGTCTCTCCCGCTTCCCACTCCATCCCGCCTTTTGGAGTTATGGATTTCCTGGTGACCCCCAAAGGCATGCAGACACATCCTCTAGCAAGGGCATGAGCATGCTGGAAGCAGATCAAGAAAGGAGAAGCAAGGACAGACTGCATTTAGTGGTTATAGGAATAAACACATGGAGTGCATGTACCAGTATGGATAACATTACAGTGCTTGTGTTAGCTGAAGAGCATGCAGTATTTGTCTTGTCCCATAGTGGGCTGGAGGTCCAGTGACAGCCCTGAGGGGTTTAGACCACCTTGTGTATGGTTTACAGAGGGTGCTGAGATCACAGCAAACCACAGAACGCTGGGTTGAGTGCCCGCTGACCTCTGTAACAGGGGGGAAGATGCCAGGCACCATCACCACCACTACAGTCTCTCAGGTGAGCTGGATTCACACCTCCCAGGGAGGAAGGGAAGGGTCCTGGAGGCTCCCAACAAGGCCACCTGGAGTGCTCCGTGAGCCCCTTTGTGCTCACAGTACAGGGACTCCCTGATACAAGCCTGCCTGATTTTTTACTCTAGAGAGGTGCAAACCCTCAGAAGGTTTATATCAAATGGCAGCTTCCAAATGACACTGAGACCCAGAGCCCGTGGATGAAGCACAGACCTATAGCAGAGGCTAAAGGGTTTGAGGGTGTCTCACAAGCAGCAGGAATCAGCCGCTTGAGCTGTCTTGGACTGATTTACAATTCCAGTGATAGCTCATGTTCTCAGAGATCCCTGATACCTGATTGCAGTGGTCTAAATTGATAAATCGCACAAAATTTACTCGTGTCAGGAGGACAACCTAATTCAGGGAGCAATTCACTGGATAAAGTGTGATGGGGAAGTATGGGGACAACTCCTTGGTCAGCACTTGCACGAAGGTCTGTGAGATTTAGGCACTTATCTGGGGTCTGGAAGAAAAATCTGTTCTCTTCATTATCAAATAGCAGAGAAAACATAAATCAGCTACTGCAACTTGTATTTCAGAAAGGTTCAGAAGATTTGGATGCCTTGTTCTTTCACATTCAGCAGTCATTAATTCACCTTTACTCCTCCTTTGTCTTGCCTTGGGTCCCACCTGTCCCTGTTCAGACATGGAACACCTTTCAGGCATTCCATAACAACACTTGGGAGGTCATCATGGTTAACACCTGCGGATTGTGCCCCTTGCTCTCCTGGAGACAAGGTGGGTGAGACACCAGTGAGTGTCCAGCAGCTGCAGATGGTTCTCTGCTCCCTCCCTTCTAACTTCTTTTCTCCACAGCAGCAAGATGTCAGAGGTAGAAAACACTTTCCGCAAGTTTGCGACATACTGTGACACAGCTGCCAATGGCAACACCATGTCAGGGAAGAACTTCTCCAAGATGTGCAAAGAGTGCGGGGTGATGGATGGGAAAGCCGTGACCAGCGCTGACATTGACATCGTATTCAACAAAGTCAAGCGAGTGTTGCAGGGAGGCACGGTGGGCAGCACAGCCAGGCGGGAGGAGGGAATGGCAGGAGGCAGGCAGGCCCTGGTGTGAGAAGCAGTCTCTGGGCAGCCTCATCCCACTGCCACCCAGTGCAAAGTAATTTTCTTCTTTTACTCTCTTTGCCACAGGGCCAAGGGTGCTCGCACCATCACCTTTGCTGAGTTCCAGCAGGCCATGAAGGAGCCCTGTGTGAAGTACTTCAAGAACAAATCACCAGAGGAAGTGCTGCAGGCTGTGTATAGCCTCATTGAGGGGAAGGAGCCTGGCTACGTGGGCACCATGGTGAATATGAGTTTCATCACCCACTACTCACCTTTAGCTGTCACAGGGGTGTTTGTTCCTGCTGCTGGCACATGAGTTGTCCTCACAAGTAGGGAAGAACTTGTTTGTGACTTGTTTCTTAACACTGGCTGCGTCTTGCTGGCCTCCTTTCTTGGAGAAAGCCACCAAGGTTGGTGGGGTCGAGAGGCTCACGGATACGAGCAAATACACTGGGACCCACAAAGAACGTTTTGATGAGAGTGGCAAAGCAAAGGGTCTTGCTGGTGGTGAGGACCTGACAGACAACAGCTGTTATGCTGGAGCCTACAAGGGAGCTGGAACCTATGACAAGACACACTAGGACTGGAACTACTTAAGAAAATAAGGACTTTCCCTCTATAACATGGGAGAAGAAGCAAATAAATATCTCATACAAGCAGCCTTCTGTGCCTGTGCACCCCAAATCTGGCAGGGTGGGAATGCATGGGGTGAGCACTGGATGAGTACTGGATGATGTAGGTTCCCTGTCTGACCATGCTTTGATCGCTGTGTGGTGGGCTTAAATCCAAGCACAAGCTAGCCTTCTGGAGGAAATTCTATGGACAAGCTAGTCTACTGCCATTGCATTGCTTTGCATTTCCAATCAAGCAAACATTAGGTTAGTCTCTGAGTAGTCATTATTTAACCCTCCCAATATGTGATACCTTTTTCTGTGTTTTTTGGTTTGGGGAGCAGTGTGTGCATGCTGTTGTAGAGCTACACTGGGTCACTTTTGAGTTGACTGTTTCTTGTGGCAGACAGCCTGTCAGTCGTACCTGAGCACATGCTGAAGAGTGCTCTTGCAGGGCATAGAATTCAACATGTACCTTACTGTGGAGAGGGAAGGGGGACCACTGACATCAGTTTCTGTTTCCCTTTTGCCTAGTTTAAATCCTCTCACCTCTTTCTAGCATTTGGCATGGTCACTCATTACTGTTCACCCCACTTACAATGCAGGCAGCTGGGGAAGAGTTTGTGAGCCTGAAGAAAGCAACTGAAAAGCTGTGCTGCAGATGATCAGAAAGCAGAGAAGGACTTTGTGGAGCCTCTGTACTTAGGAGAATGGCTTGCAAGCTCTGCCTTCCCCAACTCCTCTTTCTTTTTGGGGTGGCTGCCTTTGCCACCCAGCCCCATCACTGTGATTGCTTACAAGATCTCTTGTGCTCTAGACCTAGAATCATAGTTGCACTTTCTCTTTCCCCTTGGCCTTTCAGCAGGCTAGTAGGACTAGCATGTCCCCTGTCTCTGCAGCTAGATCTGTTGTGTGTGTGGCCAGTTTTGAGGTGTTCAGTGTGGGCACACATCTAGGACGCACTGCTGAGCAGTGAGGGGCTCCTTGGGTGTGTGGCTGGCTTTCAGTCCACTGGACCTAACTTCAGACTCCTGGATTAGCATAGTGGAGCTTTTAGGGATAACTGAAACAGCACATCTGGGACAGTTTTCCCTGACATTACGAAGAATTTTCTAGCTGTATTATTCCAGTCCTACAAGCCCTCATCATGGGCCGTGATGTTTATTAATGCACAACACTTGCTCAGACCACATTGGTCTTTGCCCCATAGCACTAATGAATGTCCTCCTTCCTCGCCTAACGAACCAGTTAGGTGGATCTAGGAATTAACAAACCCCACTCACTCTTACACTTTCTCTTACATTGTCCTTAAGCAGCAATGACCTTTTAGGCTACTTTATGATCCATTGGGTCCCTAGGGAGCTTGTGTGCAAAGTGGTTTGGTGGTTCTGGGCTATATGGCAGGAAGTTCTGTAGAAAAGGGCACAGGTGCATTGAGCATAACTGGCAGGGTCTTGCTAGCTGGGGGCTGCCGGGGTGACCTGGGAGGAGATCACAGACCACCCTATACTGGCCCACAGCCTGAGCAGGGCTGGAGCAAAGAGTTGCCACCAGTGAGTGCTAGAGCAAAGAAACCCCCTGGCATGGGCAGGCAGACGGGAGACCCTGAAGGAGGTATGACTCTAAAGGGACTGTGGCTGGTAGAGAAGGGCAGAGCAGTGCAGTGAGAAACAATAACTGGAAACAGAAGAGGAACCACAGTGGCTGACCTCAGTCTCCTGTGCTGTCCATAGCCCTGAGGCACTGAGAGGATGAAAGGCGAGGAAGGGGCAGCAGAAGTGTCTGGGAGGAAGCTGATGTACTTCCCCTCAGTGCTTGTTTAATTGCTTGTCTATATTTGTTAATTTCAGGATGGATGATTTAAAGTTTCTATTCGTTGGTAATAAACTATGAAACTCTGACTCAAGACTGCTCTTTTGCTAAAGACAGTAGGAATGGGATACGGTAAAATAGAAGTAAAAGCACTGGAACATATGTAAAATAAAAAAATGGCCCTTATACTTGCTTTTTAATTGTTGGTACGACTCAGATCTTTAAAACATACTCTAAAGATGGCTGCTCTCAGCAGTGCTGTATTGGTACATCATGTTCTGTGCAACAGTTTAAGGAAAGTACCTGTAAATGGAGAGTAACAGAATGGTGCACAAAAAAAGAAAAGCTAATGCAGTCAATAAAATAACGACAGAACATTATCAGATAGCTCTTCTTCTTGTAACATAGCATTCCTTATTTCAATACAGTCAGTAGGTAATTGCAACAAACATGAATACTTTAGAGCTATGACTGCTGTTCCTGAAGCTTTCTCTCATTAGTTCTGAAGTGGATCTACTCATCCTGTTGCTCTCAAGGTGTGCCTGCAAAAACACAGCTGAGAGGTTGCAGGAGTGGATAATGTTGTCCTGGACCTGAATAAAGTTTTTTAACTCTTTCCTATGCTTTGATGGAGGTCATAGGTCACAGCCCCCCTGGTCTTCCAAGATGAAAGGCTGATTGAGTTCTTCCCCACAATATAATACTATGTGAGGAACAATGCTAGTGCATGTTACAGTGTAATAAAAAACATGGGTTTGAGGGTCTCCCAGTATTTTTGATCCACCCCTAACTGCTTATAAATACATGATGTGTAGTTATCAGCAGGGTCCTGCTGACTCTTGGTGGCCAAGCAGAAAGATGTACCAGATTGATGGGCCCAGCAGAGTACTAGTACCAAATAATGTAGTTTTCAAGCAAAAGATACAGGCACCAGCAGTCTCACAGCTGTATCAGTGTTTGGGTTTGGTGTGGCATCCAGTGTCTGACTCCTTCTAGCTGCACTTCAAACACCTTGAGACCTTTTCATATGGGGAAAAGGCAGACAAGGATTGTCTTCAATGACCAAGCAAACCTTGAGTATTTATTTGCTCAGGCTCCAACTTCCTTGTGATTAAATGGCCCAAGCAATTGCCCACATGCAGTTCTGCAGACACACACAGGGATGCGCTGTTGGGCTTTTTTTTTTGTCTGTAATTTCGCAAGAGCATATATGGCTGGCACTGAAAACACTGTGACACTATGTGAGCTTTGGGAACAAACTGAGAGCTTTGTACTTGTGCTTGTGTAGTGTGAGTTCTGGGTTGCATTAACTCGGGTGTAATGTGACACTGGAGGGTGAATATCTGAGGCATGATTCAATCTGTACTTCTTGTGCAGTACTCCAGGACCAGCAAGAATCACTACTTGTCCTTTCTATTCCTTATAAGTAAAAATCACAAAAAGATGAGGAATGCCATGTTCACTCCCTACAGGAGCAACGGAGTGAACGGGTAAAAAGGAAGTCATGGGTGACTGAAGATTTTAAAAATAGTACCTGACTACTCTATGCCCCTGGGGAAGCAGTACCACCAGTGAACAGAGGATTTTAAAATGGCCAAAGACACGATGTATCAATTAGAGTCAACAACACATTTACAAATCAAAAGAATAAAAAATGCAGTTAATGTTCTAGTGCACTGGGAGCATTCAAAAATGTCTGTGTCATTTTATATTTGCTCTATTTAAGAGGCCATATTACCTACAAACCCAGCCATGCTGGGAGAAAACCTTCATTTTAGAGGTGGCTGAACTTTATTGGGCATCGCTTCTCCACACTGTTCCGTGAGCATCAGAGACAGTGTGAGGGCTCTGGGAGAGGGCTGGCTGCTGGTGCTCATCTTGCAATTTAAGCATGTGCCTGCACAGCAGTCAGGAGGAGAAGGCCCTTGCAAGCTGCAAGGAGATAAATGTAGCTGAACACATGTAAGTGGCTCAGTCTGTGGGGTTTACTGGCAACAGTAGGAATCTTGCTGAAATAAAACTACATTCATTATCTAGGTGCTTATACCCAGCTGCTGCTAAATTGTCAGTACTGTAAATGAATAGGGAAGCATTGGCATTTACAGTGTTCTGAAATACAGCAGAAAAAAATACCCCAAGTCCAGTTCACTTTGGCAAACTCAGTGAACTTGTTTTCTTATTTCTCTGGGGTGTCTCCTAATACATTCCTACACTGCACTTTCCCTCCACCCAGCAGCTACATCCTTCAAAGCAGTTTCCTTGCTATCTTCTCTAGAGCACATCTCAAGATCAACCAGCTGTTCTTTGCCAGCTGGTCATTGTGCCACTGTACTGGAGGCACAACATCACACACCAGTCAAATAAAAATCATTTGGTAACACTGGTGAAATCTGCACACAAATTAGAAAAAGATCTGAAGATCCAGCTGTTGTAGCTGTGCAGCAGGGAGCTGCAGCAGTAGGGCAGGGTGTTACTGAACACAGGTAGGAAAGAATATGACAAGAAACTTCACACACGTGTTTGCATGTATGTATATGTAATGCTTTTAAAGCAGTCTTCAGACTGCACAAGAGACAGATACAGAAATCCTCTGCTACCTCTTCTGCTATTCAAGAATGCAGTTGGTCTTGCATGTCAGTCAACTCTTGCTGTTGCTGAAACCAGCATAATTTCACTTTAACAAAGCAGGAAGAAAAAAGAACAGATTATATCAGTGCACCCACTGGCTAGTAGAAATGCAGCAGGACAGACAAGTGAGCATCCTTGTGCTGCAGTGTGGTGTGATGATGGCTCATGGCATTTTCTGTGGTATTGAACCCTTCTTTGCAAAATTGCTTCTTTTTGCTGTTGCTGTTTCAGGTTGTATCTTTAACATGATGGCACAGGGAGCTTACTGACCTGCTGCCACATGAGGTGTTTCAAGGTGGCACTGGGCATCCTCCATAAGCACTTTGATACAGTTAAGCAAGGCCTGGACCTAACAGGCTCTCACCCTGACAGTTTAAAGCATTTGCAGTGGTACACAGATGTAGAGAGCTAATGATCTGTCCACATTTATACTGGACTGGTCAGTCAAGTGCTATTTACATTTGAAGTTACGAATTGTAATGGATGGCAGTGCAAGGCTTTCCTCTGCTGCTCTGGCTAGAGAAATGTGCACATCACTGTCTCAGGGAAGCAGTGGTTATACTTGGTGCAGAGTTAATTATATGTTAAGGAACCCAGTGGGTATTCACCT